TAACTGCAATGTATTGTTTGTCATTCATAGTATCATTCATAGTAAATAAAATATATATACAAATATATCTATATATATATATATTTACATTCAGTAATTTTCACGTTCATTTTCGGAGCTTTGTCATTTTCCCGTTGGTTTTCTTCCTTTATCTTTTCACCTTCTTCAGGCTCTATATGTGAAACTTTTCTTTGATGTCCTTGTTCCTTGGCTAATGTTCGTTGTTTCGTTCTTGGCTTTTTTTCATTGTGCCTTTTTAAAATATATTCATGTCGGCTGGTTAATTTCTTCAATTTATTGTTTTTAGTTGTTTTGTGTTTAGAAGAGCGGGATTTTTTCTGCTGGTCCCTTATATGAACCAATATATATGATCAATAATTCTTCTCTTGTTTCTTTGTAGTAGTTTAATACAAGATGTGGTGTTGTATGTGTAATTTAGCCCCAAAAATATATATACATATTCCTACAGATTCTGGATACTTTGTCCTTATGCTGTGGCAGAATTTAATTTTTTTCTTTTTTACTTGCAGTCTGCAGTTTAGTGGGTGTTTGTTTGTTGGAATTTGTTGCTTCTGCTGCAGGCTGGTAAGGACGTATAATAAATTTCAGGTGCCCAGTAAATGTGCTTGTCTCTTGCTCTATGGTTGTTTTTTTCTGTTACAGTTGCTCTATGGTTGTTTTTTCTGTTGGAATTTTAGTGTGGATTGTGAACTATTATTTATCTATCTGTTGTTTCTTCATTTATAGGGTGTCTTCTTTTGCTTTTTTTTTGGGAGTAATTTTAGTGTGGATTGTGAATTGTTGTTTATCTATCTGTGTAAGGTAAATTTGAGTAATTTTATGGTTCACTCTTTGGTATGATGGGTTTTTTGTGGTTTTACTTCTAATATGTGTGATACTGTACCGTAATGTCACATGCTTTTGCTCTTTTGCCATTATGTTTGTGTTAATGATTCTTGCATGCTATTGTTTTTTATGCTAGAAAGCACAAAAAAGCGTAGACAAAAGAAGGCTATGCATATATTATGTTGTAGTTTATCGTGTTTTTCCTTCATTTTAGTCTACATTTCTTTTTACTATTCTCTTTTGATGCTCTACAGATAGCGGTGATGACATTTTTAATGATAATTTCACCACTTCAGTTTATGTTAAAAATCACATTTTTTTGGTTTATGTAAAGAGTTTTCAACTGTCATTTCTTTTGCGAAATGAAATGTCAGAATCTACTTAGTCAGCTTATTTATATGTGCTGAAACGTAAGAAAATTATATGCAGAAAAAGTTTCTCAAATTTAATCCATATTTAGCATTTGATTGAAATATTGTGAAAAATAATTTCAAAATATTATGACCAGCATATCTTTTTTATCTCCAAACATGAGTGTTCAGACAAGTGGAAAATGAAATGAAAGTGCATCCACAATGTGTTTCCATATTACACACCAGAAAACTCCACTCCAACTTATTTCTAACTTAATTAGTTTAAATTGACCCCCTCAACTTTCAAAATAATTCAGCTCCTGTCTGCTTTGTTTCATTGTTTCTTGTCCTTTTGGAAACCGTCTCTTTTGAGGACATCCCCATTCAGAATAATATATCTCTTCTTGCCTTTATAGTTTACTTGTTTAATGAAATTAGTTGTTCCTTCGTAGGTAGTGTCTGCCTAATTCTGCGACCTTGTGGATACAAAAAAGCTAAATACCAATTTTATGTGCCTTCTTAATTTTTTTTTTAACCTGGGAAAAAAAAAATTTACTCTTGCTTTGCCTTAGTTTTGATATGAAGGATACGCTGTCAATCAAGGAAATTCAGCCTCATGTTAGGAGGTGGACAGCATTGGTTCAGGTGGTTCAGAAGGGCCACGTTGCTGTGAGCCAAAATGATTCGTCCATCTCCTACTGCCGCTTTCTTTTTGTAGATGCTGAGGTGGCTATTTTCTCTCCGGCCACATTCATTGTCTTATTTTGTACTTCGGAACAATGCAATAACATATTGTTGTTTTCTGTTTTTATATTTCAATGTTTTTTAAAAGGGAACAAAGGTTTCTGCGGTCGCATACAATAACAACATAAGAACGAATGCCGCCCTTTTGGTTCCATTTAAATGGTGCTATGTTTCAGGCGCCACAGTAAAAAAGGTTGACAAGAAATATCTGGTTGGTGATTATAGCTATTCTTGGACAGTCAACAGCAACACTTTAATCCAACCTTGTGAAGAAAAAATGCCTGCCCAACTGGTTTTCTCTGTGGACCTGCAGGAGTACAAAAAACTCCACTCTTTTGCTGACTCTGATAATTTACAGAGTACGTTTGCTTTTTTGCTTTTTTCCTGCTTCCTCTGCAATATTAGTTTATCTCTATGCATTTACAGTTGTTATTTCAGTACAAATGCATCCATGTTTTCATGAATAAGCGCTCAATTATGGTGTGTTTTCTAGATGTGCTGGGTGTAGTCGTGCACTCTTTCCCATCTAGACAGATTGGTGAAGACTCGATCGCTAGAGAAATAATCCTTGTCAATGAGGAGTATGTTTTTTTTAGCTTTAAACATTGTGGAAAAATTCTTTTTTTGGCTAAACCTTTTTATGCCAACATTCATTCTTTAAATCCACTGTTCAGAAAAATACCGATCATGTTCACTCTTTGGAATGATTTTGCTACCACTGAAGGATCGCAACTTGCAAATAGCATTCACTCAGCAAATGTTGTTTTGGCTCTGAGAGTTAAAGTCACAACGTTTAATGGTATGCATGATGTGCTTTTGTAAGGGTGTACCTTGCCTATAACACTTTTGTTGTCTTTTTACTGTGCCTAAAAATATTTCTCAAATTTACCTGCAGTAATTTCTATGTCCACTAGAGCTCCAAGCGCTATATTAATTAATCCTCCAATGGCTGCAGCAGATGAGCTTAAGCAATGGTTGGTACTAAGAGTTTAAAAACCTTTATAATATTTTTTTAAAAAACATTCAAAATGAGCTTGTGGTTCTTTATAGGTATTCCCAACACAAAAATGAAATTGATGATATGATTGGAAGGGCTGCGTACAAAGACACCACTATCCTGCTTCCTTATCCATCAACAGACAACGTTCTCTCGGTGCACACCATGCTTAGTGGCGTTAATAATGTTAGTTCATATTTCATCTCAGAATAACACATGAGATGTATTGTTTATTAGGTTTTAATTGCCTTTTCTGCGATACTTATGAAGAACAATTGTTGGTACCACAGGTTCGAGCAGCATGGATTAAGGGTTGTGTCACTCTGCCACATATTCAACAGTCGCTGTGGTTTAGTGCGTGTGCCAGCTGCCATAAGAAATTTGACTTGCAAACAAGCTCAGCCATTAGGTGCAGCTCTTGCAGTCAAAACAGCATGATAGAAGCTAGGTAACATTTAATGTTCATGTATAGCCCTAAGATGTAATATCTTTATAGTTTGTTCAGCTTATACAATTATTCTTGGTTTTTATGTGCTCAAGAGCTAGGATCCCTTTGGAAATCGCTGATGGCACTGGAATACTTTCGGCTGTAGTGTACGGAGAGGATGCGGAAAGACTTATTGCTTACACAGCACAACAGCTTATGGCAGCAGAAGATAAGGTCCAGTTTTATAGAAAAATAAATATAGACTTTAGTTATTTTCTCCCTGCGTGTTTTATACCTTTTTGCTTCCTGCGGCTATTTAACGTGCTCTTTTGCTACACATGAAATGTTATTAGAGCTTGTTATGGATTTCTTTTCATGTGTGGTACATTGTAGAATGTTGTTTGCCTAAATATTAGCAGCCTTTTCTTAGGGGGAAGCTATGAAATTTGCAGTTAGTATTCTGTAGAAACTTTAAAATTCACAGCAATGTGTGCGCTTTTAGCCAGTTGTATTTTTGCTGTATGTTATATTTGTCAAGCCTCTACCTATGCGGACATTTATTTGTTTTCCCGTGTACATAGAGCACCTTGTTAAAATGGAGTAATATAACCTAGGGCTGTTTAGTTCGAATAACATGTCTTGTGAACTTCAACTTATTAATATGCACATTGTTTTGTAGTGTCGGATGGCTTTTTTTTATAATGACAAAATTACATAGTTTGAAAAATTAAGGAATCGTGCGTAGTAGTTTTGCAATGTGCACATTCAATTGTTAAGAGTTCCAGTGCATCTATAATTTAGCAAATTTCTAGCAGGGTGCTGATTTGGTAGCAACGATTCGCTCTGGCATATGCGGAAAAAATGTTTTATGCTTTGTGAGGCTCTTTCAAGCTACTGGGCCCACGTACTCGGTTGTCAAACTTTATACAGATGGGGATGTAGCGACCCACGAGCTGCACCCTTCATCTTCTCATGCCAACATTGCAGAAATGAATAAACCTTTAGATGCGAATGACAAAGGCGTGGAGCTGGATAACATAGAGGCTGAGGTGCTTACCAATTATCTGTTTTTCGAAGTATCCTAGAAAAATAAAGATTTGTCCTACCTGCAACACACATTTATTAACATTTTTTTCAGGATGAAGTGGAAACCCAGTTGTTTACGCCGTCAACTAAAGCATGCCTAGAAGCTATTCTTGATGAGCCTACAACCATGTCTACACCAAAGGAATCCAAGTCAGCCGCCGTTTGTTCTCTCCTCTTTGAGAATCCTGAAACTACTGCAGAATCTTTGGTTGCTACAGACACACACAATGCTCCTGATGTCTTTAGGCCATTTTTTTTTATGGGTGACATTCATCATTCATTTGCCAGATGTTTTCGCAGTAGTTGCGCATGCTTTTCCAGCCAAGCAAATTGGGCCAACTTTGTTTGCTAGGGACATTATACTGGTTAATAATGAGTATGTATTCCATCTCCATAGCTAACTTATTTTATTTGCAATGTCACCTATGAAGGTTCAATTCTTTGACATAATTTTCTGTGCAGGAGAATACCAATACTACTCACCCTTTGGAATAAATTTGCTCAAAGGGAGGGAAACCAACTAGCAAACAACATAGATCAAGCAAATGTCATAATTGCCATGAGAGTTAAAGTGACAACATTAAACGGTAAGTGTTCTATGTATCTGACCTCTTACTACAACGTGGCATAAAAAAAAAAATTTACTGTTAATAGTAAAGTTCATGGCATATTTTCCATAGGCATATCATTGTCAACAAGATCCCACAGCGCTGTGCTCATTAATCCACCAACAGCTGAAGCAAACAGTCTAAAACAATGGTACACAGAAACATAACGTTGTAATCAGTTGTTCTAACCTTTTTTTTTCCCAAAATGTACACAACTCCGTCATAACTTTTTTCTTATCAAATAAATAGGTATATACAAAACCAATCTGAAGTGGCACACCTCGTTTCAACCAAGGCGTATAGAAACACATCCGTCCTGCTGCCCCATCCAAAGCCAGGAAACATAGTCACAATTCGCACACTACTGGAGGACAAGAACGATGTAAATAAAATTTAAACACACATACAATTTAAGTAGCTCAATATAGCTCTATACTGACAACAAATTAATTTTATTGTTAACAATAATATTGTCGATTTCTTACAGCTGCCTACTGCATGGATACAAGGTTTCATTCGCTTATCGAACATTCGGGAACCCCTTGCGGTTTCTGTATGTCTCAAGTGTGAAAATAAAATTGAAGACCTACCGAGAACAGAAACTACTTGCATCTATTGTAACCATGATGGGTTGGTTCAAACAAGGTTTTATTTAAATACAAATGTTTGTTGCAGCTATTCCTGTTATTAATTCTTTTTGTTCGTATTTTTTAGTTAAAATTAAATTGACAACAGATTGCAAATTCCTCTCGACATAACTGATGTCACTGGAGCAATATCAACAATTGTCTCCGGAAATGATGCAGAAGCACTCATCAATGGCAAAGTTGAACAGCTCCGCTTAAGAAATACAAAGGTTAGACAACCTGCTACAAAAAATACAATTTGTTGCTAATTCTACAATACTTAATTACAACATGCTTATGTTTTGCATTTTTCGCAAGGTATTCATTTACCCAGTAAATTCACCAAACATCATTCTATCCATAAAAATTACTACTTTACAGGAAAAGTTCAGTTCATGTGAAGTTAATGTATGGAAAAAAACATATACAGATTCCATATTTCTAACCATCAAAGTTGTTTCTTTAGGGGACAGACTTCATTGAGGAGATCCGCTCTTACATCTATGGAAAAAGTGTTGTGTGTTTTATACAGAAATTCCAATGCCCTGTGCCAATTTACTCAGTCTTCAAGCTATACATAGATGAGGAACAAATTGATTTGCAAACACTTGATGTAAAGAATAACATGAACAACCCAAGTACTGGCGATGGTATTGAACTAATTGCAGAAGATGCGGAAGAAACAAAGCATGTTGCAAAAAATCAAATCCGCACCAACCATCCTCAAATGGATAATCAGGTCACATTATTGTCATCCAATTCTTTCATAAGTAAAAAAAATAATATATATATGTTGCATAACTTTTTAATTTCAATTTTTTCTAATTATGCAGACACAAAAGGAGGTTCATATGTCCAGCACATTTGAACCCTACCATTCAACAGGCTTACAACGCTCTCGCAACAACACATGCTTTGTACTACCTCAGCCACAAACGGATATTCTCAGTGCATCATCTCCAAGCATGTACAAAAAAAAAGACAATCCAGTCAAGCCATTTCAAGAACCATGCAGAAATGCCTAATCACCATGTGTTGTCTTATGTGGCTGTTATGTTGCTACCGTAAGTATTTGCAATTAACCGGCTACAACAGACCATTTGTACATTTTCTTTTGTTCGAATCTATGTTCATCTTTTGCCAGGCTTATTTTGAAACTCTGGGTGTACTTATTTTAAAGGCCGAAAAATTGCGGATATAATATTAAAACTTAATGGTTAAAAGACCCCAATTTTACGTGTATGGGCTTCCTTGTAATTAATCTTAAAGATGATGGAACCTAATTAACTTGTAGTGAACTTTTGTGTTTCTGTGTTTGCGCTTGTGCAAAATATGTTTCAGAAACAAACCAGTGAAGTAGAATTACCTCCTTCAAATTGATATTAAAGATGATGGAACCTAATTAACCTATAATTTGCACACTACTGTACACGTCAGTTGATCAATTTACTACCTAATTTGGTTACACAATAATAATGATAATAATTTATTATTAACATTGTTTTGTATATTACTTATCTGTGAATTGGGACAAAAATTATGCTCTCTGATAGGAAAGCGCCCTCAATCTTAATGACCTCTTCTTCTAAATCATATTTTTATAGCTAATGTAATTGTGCAACACATAATCTTACATGCATTAAATAGGTAAGTTTATATTGACTTTCATACAATTTAATCCGAAGATTTACAAATTATATAGTACTGACATTTTAGGTAATTAAGACAATTTTTTGGGTAATGAAGATATTTTTTTAACGACAAATTGGGCCCAGCTGTGCTGTGCACAGCCAGAAACAAACTAGTATCTCTCTTATCTATATATGAAAGAGTTATGCCTCTTCTATGAGTGACACATGTCCATTTTTGTGGTCTTCAAAAGTTGACAAGTGTCTTTTTTTTTACAATTTTGCCACTCAAATTTGAAGACCAATTGGGTCAATCAGATGGCACCTCAATTGGTATGTCTTTTTACTAAAAGGGCCAGCTGCATTCACTACGTGATATTGCTTCATTTCTTCTCTTGTTGCCTTCCTCGCGGGATTTTCTCGCAGAAAATCTGGTAGCGTGTTCAATCATATACATCTTCCATCATTTCTTTACTGATTAGACTTCTTGAGGTTGTGTTCATTCTGCATTTTGTGGCTTTAACATCTTACTCTTGCTTTCACTCTCTTCAGAGCAGACCATCCCACACGCAACAATGAATCAGTCAAAAAGCCCCCCAAAAAAGCTATGATTTCAATCTACGAAAAATCATCTCCGACGCTCTCTCTCTCAACTAAAAATCTCTCCGGTGATGTAAACCCAGTCACCCACTGCCTGCGGCTGCAACCATGGGCCAGCGCCACCAAAAGCGCCACAACCCACCCATCGAGAAGCACCTCACCGGTGACCCCACATCCAAGCCACTGTGGAAGTCGATTTCCTTTCCCAAGCTCCTTCCGGAAAGAGCAGAATCGCCTAACGAAGCCGCCACCTCTCCCCGGCAGTTCCACCGCCGTGAAGCACGTGAGCTTTGGCGCGACGAAAATGATCCGCTGTACCTAAATGAAATTTGTGGGTTTTTGTCTACACGATTGAAATTTGTGGTTAGTAGATCTTGCTAAGTATTTTTTATTTATTTATCCAATTTTGAATGAAATTTGAAAAATATACTGAAATTGCATTACGGTTGTAGAATGTAGGAAATTCTCTTGAGTCTAAATAAGCATCGATTCATCTTTGTGGTAGATTTCCATGGCTGCGAGTGCCAGACACTGTCCAGTGCAAGGTTGATAGGAAGACTTCTGTATTTGAATATATGAGCAGGCTAGATGTTAGCTATGCAGTGCAACAGTTAAGCCAATTTGTAAATAACCCTTTCACTGAACACTGGGAAGCAGCCATTCATGTGCTTAAATATCTTAAAGGTACTGATTCTCTTGGTTTGCTGCTTAGCTCTAAGTCAGATCCTACTGTGACTGGCTTTTGTGATGCTGATTGGGCTACTTGTAAAGATACTCGTAGATCAATCACAGGTTACTGTGTTTTCATTGGCAATAGTCTCCTCTCTTGGAAAAGTAAAAAACAAGTCACAGTGGCACGATCCTCGGCTGAGGCAGAGTATAGAGCAATGGGGACAGCTGTGTGAGAGTTGCAATGGATCAATGCTTTGGCCAAGGAGTTTCAGATACAGCCATCTTTGCCAATTACATTGTGGTGTGACAATCAGGCTGCTATGCACATCACTGCCAATCCCGTCTTTCATGAGAGAACCAAGTACTTGGAGATAAACTGTCACATTGTTCGAGATCAGTTCAAGGCTGGTTTTATTAAGCCAGCTTATGTTCATTCCTGTGCCCAACTAGCAGATTTCTTCACCAAGCTACTGTCACCGGGAGTGTTTCATCGTCTTTTGTCCAAGCTGGGTGTGTGCATGTCTCCCCGCACTCCAGCTTGAGGGGGGTGTTAAATATTATGAGTGCATATGTGTGTGAGTGTGTAAGTGCATATGTACATATAGGTGAAAGTGACTGTGTGTGTGTAAATAGATGAAAGG